AATCCTAACATAACCTAACCTGCGTCTAACCTTACTTAACCTAACTCAAGTGATCAAAGGGTGTAGTCAGGACATCTAAGGTAACATTTAAGACCGTGCCTCACGCGGTAAAACGCTTGTTGGCATTTAATATGTAACAAGATATATTTTAGAGCTCATATTGTTTAACACCAAAGCGAGAATAAGTCAAGATAATAAGAGATCAAACCACAGTCAAATGTTAAACAAATAGCAGGCCAACAGACAGGACTTGATTCAATACACTTACCAAAAAAGTGTCGATTAATTATTTTTGTAAGAAAGAAATAGAGAAAATCAAATGAAGTTAACAAATAAAGAAAAACGAATCTTTTTAGAATATATTATTCCATCACCAAGGTCTAAATTTACCATAAAATCATAACAGTGAGGAAATTAAAACTTAACTAGAAATACATAATATAAATATGTATATATAATGAGATAATAAATTTACTCAAAACGAAGATAAAATATAAAATATCATTAAACTTATTAAATATTATTGTAAACAATTATGAAGGAACACGTTGGAACGTCCAAATTTGATTACCTCATCTGAAACTCCTCTTTTGCTTTTATCCGAAAATTTGATTGATATTCCTTTAATATTCAATTTTGTAAGAATATCTGTTTATGCGAGAATCACAATTCATTTCCCCCGATAGCCAAATTGTATCGTGGGTCTTTGAGGGAATATGTGTTTTGTCTAGTTATTCTAAATAAAGAACTACAAAGGGAACATCCAAAACAGGTTTTCGAGTAAAAAGGAAGTAGATGGGTAATCTGCAGTTATGAAACCCTCTTTCGAAAGAATTTGTAAGAAGGCTCGACCTTTATATTAGTTAACGAATGCTGTATAATAAATTGTAAAGATCAATGGTAATTAAGTCAATAGACAAAGCTGAATTACCTAATTCCCGGTAATCCTTATCCAGGGTGCGACTCGGACAAAGGGCGAGACTTAAATAAGTCGGCAAGGCTCGATTGTAAATATTTTCTTCGATTTGTAATTGTCGACCAAGGGAATCGCGAAGAATTAGCATTGAAATACAATTAGGTCGATCAAGACTGACCCACATCTAATTGCTTCGGATAGGAAACAACGTTAACGTTCTCCGTTCTCTAGGACGTACCGTTTCGACCGGCAGGCAGATATCGTGATACATTTTTTTAAAAACAGAGACAGGTCGTCCATTTGACAGTAAACGTTCTAATTTGGATTTACCTTGACCCTACTTTCTTCTCTAAGGCCGGTATTCTCCACCTCCGATCGTTAGAAATTTTTTATTTTATCACGAATAAAAACACAGGTCTTTATCGTATCATCCTGTACACGTTAATTTTAAACTTATTTTCTGAGCGTTTGGAATTTAAAAAAAATTTTGTACAACCCATGTAAGCTAATATTGTATTCCACAATGAACGTTTCGTTGGGAACAGGCTGAGGTAAACATGTTAAATTAAGAACTCACACGTTAAGTATACACAGTTAGTCACAGTTATTATTCATTATCCTTTAAACAATTTCATACGTAAATATTGGTCAAACATTTTTTTACATAAATTTAAACCCGACGTTAAATCAAATGGTTTTCTTAATTCTTACCACAAAGGTACAATTTTGGCTTAAAAATAACTGAAATCTTGATGTTGAAATAATATGATTGTTTTTCCGAAAATCAGTGAATTTATAAACGTCGTTTTACTATCTAAGTTCTTCGCGAATATAATTTCATGTATTTTTTTTTGTCATATGATCATACACAGTAATAATAAATTGCGAAACTTATGAATGATTTCTTTATTGTTTTTTTTTTACGTAAATCATAAATATTTCTATTAGAGTATTATAAAAAATATTACTTAATGGATTTTTATGACTTGTAAATCTAATATCAAAATGTAACCCTTTTATTCCCTATCTCTCTTTAGTTTCAGGCCGTAAATAAAAATTTGATACAGGCAATTGTTTTTTTCGATGGGAAAACTGTACTGTGAGATCTCCTGTCAAATTCCTCCGCTATGTATTTTAATTAGCGAAGGTTTGTGGCTGAATATTTCACTATTTCACACCCGAAGTACTCTCCTTCACAAATTCACTTTTGGAATTTATTTTTGGTACCTCCTTCCAAATTTGTATTTTGTCGAATCAATCCTGTCAGAAAATTATGAAAATCTAGCCTCAAAAACAACTTCAGGCAGTCTTAAAGGCTGGAATCAGGAAATGCGTAGTCCTTCATTCCTTCTGTCTTAAACTTCATTTTCTACCTCTAACAGCCCAATAATTTAAAATTTTTAATGTGTAAATGTATTCTCAAATACATATACAGAATGTAGCATATATGCAAAAGCATATACAGAAATTTGACTTTATATGCTTGTAAGTATTTTATATCATCTACTAAGTTTTTTAATAATTTAAAATAAGGGTTAATTTGAAATTAAAAAGTATTTTTTTGAAGGCAAGAAAGGTTCATTTGAAATGAAGAAGTTTTCATCTGACGTTAGAAAGGTTACTTTGACGGGGAAAAGGGTTAATTTGTCGCAAAAAAGCTGTATTTAATTTTGTATAATTTTTCATTTTAATTGTAATTTATTTTCATGTTGTCTTCTAAGAGCCCCATTATTTTATATTTTTTAAAAATTCTCAAATATAAAGAATTTCACTTTACATGCTGGTTTATTACACCTTCTCAAGTTTTTTATGCGTTAAATCAAAAGGTAATTTGAAATTAAAAAGCGATCATTTGACGGGAAAAGCCTTTATATAATTGTATATAATTTTAATTTTAATTATACAATTGTTAATTTTCATATGGTCTTCTAAACGCTCAATTATTTAACATTTAATTTTTTTTTACTTTACATTGCCATGCTTCTATTTCATAACATTTTCTAACGTTTTGTAATGCTACAAGAAAAGGTTAATTTGAAATTTTATTAAAAACGAATTTTGCAAAGTTAAAATACTGGTAATTTCAAAAGGGTTAATTTAAAGGTAAGAATGGTTAATGTGAAATGAACTTTTAATCCAAAATTGAAAATCCTAATGAAGGTTAGGTTAGGTTAGTTTACGTTAGGTTAGGGACGGATTAGTATACATATCCATTTTCTCGCAAAAAAAAGCTATATTTAATTTTATATAATTTTTAGTTCTAATTATAATTTATTTTCACGCGGTCTTCTAAGAGCTAAATGATTTTATATTCAAAACCAATTTGTTGAATATAAAGGAATTTTGCTACATGTTTATATTTCATACCATCTTAAGGTTTTATACTTTAAAGAAAGGGTTAATTTTAAATTAAAAACGGATAATTTAAATTGTATTTTTAAAACAATCGTTTGATCTATAAAGCTATGGACAATTTTTTTCGTTGAACTTTCGCTCATTGGACAAGTGGAGTCCAAAGTTAGGAAATTTTCACCCACTCTATTGTTTAGGCCTAGTTGAATAAACTGTGAACTTGATAGATTTCTTTATATGCCCAGTGAGATGATGAACTGTAATTTGATCCTCACCATTCATTTTGGTTTGCATATCCTCGCTGGTTTGTCAGATTTTGACCCTTTGTCATCTTCAGTGTTTTTTCTTAATCTTGTCTTTGATATCTTATTCGATAGGTAAGTGTGCGACGCACTCGCTTCACGGAAAAACATTGAATTACGGATATGTATACTAATCCGTCCCCCCTAACGTAAACTAACCTAACCTAACCTAACCTAACCCAACGCAATATCGACCACACAAAAATGTGTGTACCAGCCCCAAAACATATCCAGGTTTAATAAAATTTAAGTTTAAAACTATTCACAATTGACACACTCAAATAAAACAATTTTTTTGTAATACACACAATTCAAAAAAAGTTCAAAAGAAAATTATTTTGAAGAGAAAATCCCAAACTCATATTCCTTGTACTCGCTTCTTCAAAAGTTATGTAAATTTAAATTTAGGGAAACAATTGTTCAAAAAATCCTATCACTGCTTGGATTCTTGTTTTGAAAACATACATTAAAACACAAGACAAGCCTGAAAAATTTTGTAAGAAAAAAAGCTTTTTTAAAATGTTTTATCTCGTTTGCTCTGAAGAAATTCCAATTTATTTAATAATTAATCAATTTATAATTGTCTTCTTTCCATTTTTGTCCTTCTTAATTTCATTATTGTTCAATGGTTTGTATCATTTGAGAAGATATTTTCAGAAATAAAGTTCATTAACTTCATTAAAAAAAAAAAAATGCCCGGAAGAAATAATTTATCTTTTTTTTTTTGTGTTCAACCAAGTTTAGCCAAATAATTAATAAAAAGGTTTATTCTTTTCTATGTGGTTTTATAACTTTAGAAGTATTTCCGGTCTTGTTTAATTTATACAGTTTCAAAGCGGCTAATTTCACCTGTCTCATAATCCATCCATCGATCCAGCATCGAAAGATTTTTTTTTCAAATCATATTTATTTCATTTGAACTTTTTTCATGTTTGATTTTCCACTCTGAACGAAAGTGATAGAAGAAAAAATTCAAAATTTTCATTATCATGGCTCCCAATGTGAGGCTCAAATGATTACAAGGGAGAACATTGTCCATCTTGTTTTGTGATGACGATTTTTTTGTTTATTAAAACAAAAATTTCGTTAAAATAGTTCAATATAAGAAAATTTAACGTTTTCCTTTGTTACTTTTTTTAAAATTTTATTATAATTGTCATTAATGATGGATCCGGTAAGAGAGTAAAATGGTAATTGAAGGGAAATATTTTGGTCTTGGTTTCTTGACTATGTTATTTTAATTTCGAGAAATTGTCGCTTGACGTTGATTTCACTTTTTTGAAAGGGAAAATATTGATACAAAAATTATTGGTGAATTTTTTTTAAATTTAAAATTGTGATCGATTCCATGGTTCCAGGATGGAGAAAACTGATAAAGTGATTGAATATGTTCGGACTTAATTGTGTAAGAGGAAAAAAAAATCACAAACCTCGTGCGAGTGTGTTTCGTCGTCAGGAAAGAGGTGAAGTCATAGTTTGTTGTTAAGGAGAGAGAAAGCAGACTGGTAATGCGAGCGGTTGGTTAGACATTCCCCTTCTCGCGGCCCCCTCCAAATTCAAATCGGCTTTTACTTTCATTCTCCGTTCCCACTCACGTCGCCTTTGGGTCGGAAAGTGTCTCGTCTTTGTGTGAAGAACCGGCCGGGGATGACCGGGACTGATATCTTTCCGCCCAAAAATATGAAACTACACTTTCCTCACATTATTCCGGTTTAAGACGTGAAATCCCTACGCGGGATTAAGGGTTTTTCGTAGACGGGGGGGGGGGAATCGGTAGTAAGATTTCGCACGCGTTGAGATTGCTTTCTCGGTATAAAGGTGAGTTCACTACGACGACCTTTACCTGTAACTCTCCGGTCAACTAGACGAGAAAACGACTGTTGGACGTCTCTCCTATAACTTGCACTACTTGCCATCCAGGATTACCGGAAGTCTTCATGAACAGCTGTCATTCCAATAATCAAATCTAAATTGTATCAAAAATGTCTATTGGGATTTTGCCTATTTTGTAGTATTCACTTTCCCTAGCATTTTTATTTTACTTTTATGATATATTGAATTAATTAATTAATAATTTTTAAATATAAATTACTATTTTTTTACTGAAAGAAAATTTAACTAAGGGATTATGAAAACTAACAAAATAAAGGATTTTGTTTATTGGACATAATAATTTTTTTAAACAATAATTACCCTGTATAACTATTTAGAAATCGTGAGATGCGGTCTTGTGTGATGCAGGTTTAGAAAAACATTTTCTTTATCGTATCAACGTTTCGATCTTTATTGAGATCATCTTCAGGGCCTGGGATTTATTATAGATAAACATTGTTTAAATTCTTAAAATTAATTAAGTTTACATTTGAGATAAAAAGTCAGTGTCACGAGCGGGATTCGAACCCACTATCTTCGGCTAGATACGCCGCTGCTCTACCACTTGAGCTATCGGGACCTCGATCCACTCGGACATTTATCTCAACTAAAAACCTTAATTAATTGTAAGATATTAATTGGTCAAGCCGACCACGAAAACTAGTGAATTTAATGGGATGCAGTCAACGAACATCAACTTGGTTTCTTTTTTAATTTCAATTACCCTTTTTATTTCATATTAACATTGTTTTTAACTTCACTGGTTTCGTGGTCCGCTTGACCAATTAATATCTTACAATTAATTAAGGTTTTCAGTTGAGATAAAAAAGTCAATGGCAAGAGCGGGATTCGAACCCACGATCTTCGGCTAGATACGCCGCTGCTCTACCACTTGAGCTATGACTTCGACCCACTCGGACGCTAACTTCCCATCTCAACCCCACCTTTTTTTGAATTTTCCCTCCTTTTTGCCATTTTTCAATTGTTCGAATCCCGCTCGTGCCATTGACTTTTTTATCTCAACCCAAAAAACCTTAATTAATTGTAAGATATTAATTGTTCAAGCGGACCACGAAATACGTGAATTTAATGATTTAAAATTAAGTATACTTCACTAAAGCTCTCCGTGGCCATTTCATTTGTGAATCAAATAGATTGCACGACATTTGAAAAATGGCAAAAAAGGAGGAAAAACTCAAAAGGTGGGGTTGAGATGGGAAGTTAGCGTCCGAGTGGATCGAGGTAACGATAGCTCATGTGGTAGAGCAGCGGCGTATCCAGCCGAAGATCGTGGGTTCGAATCCCGCTCGTNCCAACTAACAAGAATATATCGTTTAACTTTAATTAAAATTAACAACAATTAGAAGAAGAACAATTAATAGAATAAGAATATATTACAAATTCCCTCATTCATTTTTGAGCTTTTTTTTTTCTACGAGGGTTCGCAACAGCTTGAGGTTATAAAAACCTCCGGGGTGCCGTGTTTTTGAAAAAAAAACTTTTGTAGGTATATCGGGTTCGAATGCAGGGCCGCTGGATTCGAACCCCGGACCTTTACCTTACAGTGATGAGCGCCGTGTCAACGCCTAAACCGTTGCGGCCACCGACGGCCCCCTTCTGAGCTTATTAGTTGTGAGAATCATAGGGCCTAAATATAAATACTAAAGGAACCTACTCTGGAGGTATTTTGAAAGAAGTTCCTTCAGAAACTTTAGTTTTGTGCATAATAAATGCTCCTTAGAGAAGCATTGGAGACGAGTGGTTTGCCCACTATGCAGGGTGTTTACTTGAATTGATTAAGGATTTAAAAATCCTTTCCTCCACAGCGACTTATATAGATCTATTGTGGAACCCCTATAAATTATAACCATACCTTGGAAAGTGCTCTTTTTTCCTATAAGCCTAAGTATTTTAAAGGCCTCTGCGCGCACCTCTTTTGGTGTGAGAATTGTCTTACCGGAGTGGCTTTTCTTTAATCGGCCTAATGCTTCACATTCACAAAGGATACGTGGCGATGTCTCCGTTTCTTACTGAGAGTCGGCATGTTTCTGTCTATGCTTTGCCCATCTTCTTTAGATGATAGTTAATTGGGCGGGGTCGGTATAGAAGCATATAATTTTTAATTCAACTGGAACTAATCGAGTAAATGGACAAGTTGAGCGTCAGACGAGTCTTGAAGAATATACTAACTGTTGCAGAATCAGACGAGGGGAAATCTTGTCAACTAGTAGTCGGTGATGTTCAATTAGCCAGTAATAGTGCCAGTAAGGTGTATCACGACCTAGAGATCTGTTATCTCACGAGATGATGTGACAGAGGTTTCAGATGTACAAGTAGAACAAGTTAGAACACAGGCTATTCATGAAATGGAGAAAAGTGCAGAGTAAAGTAAAGCCAGATTTGACAAATGTAAGGGCAGGGTTCTCCCATTGGCGTTGGTGATTTGGTTCTCCTGAAAAACGAAGAGCGAAATCAGTCGAAGCTTGATCCCAAATATAAAGGGTCTTTCAAGATTTCAAATGATGGATACGAGATAGTTTAGTGATGGACGTAGATCCTACAAATATGCACACGGTCGTATTCGTCGTGCGCCTGATGCTGCAGAAACTGGCCCATCACCAAGTGTCAGTGATAGTGAGAGAGAAACTAATAAATAGTTTAAAACATTGCCTTTACCCTGTTTATAATAATATTAATTCTTGCCCTTGTACAAAAAAATTTAATTTTTTTTTTAAGTTTGTTCTTTATGCTTCTCGTGTTGAACTGTCAGGAAGAGGTCTCACTGTAACATTCAGAGCCACGATTTCACGAGGTTTGGAATGCCTCGGGTGGTGTGTAATGAGGAGTCTCGAACAGAATTTCTGCGTATGCACAATGGCATTTTCTCCAGTGTATGCTCAGTACGAGTTGATTTCGACCAGCTGCTCAGTTTGGGTCTGTCTCGTGCAGTATAGACACTAAACACTAGATGGGTTGGGTTCACATCCTCAGTAAGTTCAGCATAAGACAGCATATCCTCATTCACAGTTTCCGTTGCCACATAGTCCTATTACTGAATATGTCTCAATTTGACAGGTTTTCCTATTACTAATTATGGGCTGAGTTGCCCGGTGGCCTTCACATTTCAACAAGTGAGTGCATAAGCAAGGTATAGCCATTACCATTAATTGGTCAGTGTGGCTAGATTTGAGTGGTGATGTCCTTACACGATTCCCGAGTATGTTTTGCTCTTGTATATAATTTTAGTAAGAATGATTTGGTAGACAATTGCTGTACCTGTTTTCGCTTTCAGCTGTTGTCGCCGAGGACGACGATGTCATCAGGAAGGCCGTGCTATAAATCATAGTGAAGTAACCTCAAGATTATCAGTTGAGATCACCTACGATTCGCCCTGGCGGACAGTAACAGAAAGAAGGAGTCCCCACGTGACAATAATTGTATTCATAATAAATAGTACCGACGTGGAAATTATTTTTCTGGTCACGGTCGCAGAGTTGAAAGAGGAGGAAGAAAGACAGAAAGAAAAACAAAAAGCATGGGTACATGAAATAAACACCAAACGCCTTACGTTAGGAGAATATCACCATTATTTTATGGAAATGATCTTGTTTTCAGATTTATCGTGAAACAATGCTACTGCTATTCCAAAAAGCAGGGTAAACAAAGCAACGCGTTGGCTTCGTCTTTACAAAATGGCGTCCGAGGGCAGCCGAATATACCCGAACTCAACGATTTCCGACCGCCCCGGCGTACATTAGGCCGGTAGGGAGGCAAGGCGCGGCGCCTGCTTCCAGAAGTCTGGCAACTTCTCCAAGTTCGGCTCCGCGCTGCGCCGCCCTACAGCTCTAGTGTGCGGGGTTAAAGGTGGCCATTCACGATCGCCCCTAGCAGTCCAAACAGAGCGACGCCGTTCCAAAAACCACGTCAATGACAAAACTGAACTGGCGTGCCCGGCTGTGCCGAATATTCGGCCGGTCCAATCTCCATCGCGCCACTCCAAACATCTACGGCGCGTTCGTGAATGGGAAAACCTGGCGTGAACGGTGGAATATTGGAGCACTGGCTTGGTCGCGAATAGGAAAATCCGCGTTTTTTTGGCGCAGTCTCCATCTTTCTGTCACTGAGCAAACATCTCCATCCTACATTCTCAAAAAGTCAAAAACGTTTATTCTTTGTTGGCAATGACATCCAATCGAGATTTTATTGTTGATGTGATTGAATTGTATGGAAGTTTACCATGTTTATGGAAAGTGGTGGATAATGATTACCACGATAGAAATCAAAGAAATTCGGTCCTCAACCAGTTGGTCGACGTTTTCAAAACAAAGGATACAAATGCAACGAGAGATGACTGATCCCTGTAGCGAGAAATCGTAATGTGGTTGCCAACCTTTCATGTAGTGATGATTTCTCTCATGACTGTCTTTTGTTTTCTAATCAAGGGGGTAACAAGCTGGAGTAAATATAAATAAGACGTTAATCTTTTTTTTGTAAGGTTTTGGTTAACATTAAAAAACAGTGTCACGAGGGGATTCGAATCCACGACATTCGGGCAAATACGCCGCTACGCTAACCACTTGAGCTATCGTGACTTCGATAGTTCGATCCACTCGGACACCAACTCCCCATCTCAACCTACAACCTTTCGAATTTCCTCTCGTTTTGCGATTTTTCGGTGTCCGAGAGGATCGAAATCACGATAGCTCAAGTGGTAGAGCAGCGGCGTATTTATCCGAAGGTCATGTATTCAAATCC